CATTTGCTCTTTTAAGAGGACCAAGACAATTCTAAATCATCTTTATTTGTGCTGCAGGTGTTGCGTTGTAATGCTGATCCTCATCAGAGACTGCTCTATACCATCTAAGATTAGTAAGTAAGAGGATGTGGGTTAAGTTCAGCTCCTGCACTGCCTGTCATTATTTGCGGATTAGTGCTGGCCTGCACCCTCTTTGATGTGGACATCTTTCACACTTCCGTCCCATTGAGCTTTGGGGACGCATTGAAGGGAACAAAGAGCCAAATAATGGATTGAAGAGGAATGGGCATGAGCAAGAGTCAAAATCTGCTTTGTCTCCAGCTGCAGGAAAACGTCCTGTAATGAGGAAGATAAAGTGACGCAACAATCACTGCTGCACATATGAGCAACATCCGGAGAGAGGGCCCACACACATGCAAATGTGCATATGGCTGCATGCATGAAAGGCATACATATATGCATTTACACATGTCTGTGTGTACATATACAATTATATGTTCTCAGCATACACACACGCACACGCACACACACACACGCACACGCACACACACACACCCTTGTATCCCCCACTTGCTTGACATAACGCATTCACTAGCCCCTTACCCTGACCTTAACCATCATAACTAAATGCCTAACCCTAACCTAAACATAATTCTAACCCTAGACCTAAAGTCTTAACCATCAAACAGTGCTTTGAATGTCAAAATGTCCTCACGTCAAAATGTCCTCTCAATGATGGTACTGAACCAAAATTGACCCTCGTAACTATTGAAAGACATGTGCATACTTACACACACACACACACAAACACACACATACAGTACACACACACAAACGCTCTCACCACTTTTAATGATCCTGTGGGTTGTACTGCCCTCTGCTGGACACACAGGATACAAATGCAGCTTTTAACACTAAAGCTCAGTCAGTACTGTCCTATCTTAGCTGTAAATGAACATAACATGTCCTTAATTGATCACTGTGTGTATAGTTTGTTAATACATACATACATACTTAGTTGTAGATCATGTTTTCTTACAGCTGATTTTGGATGCTCCAGCATATACCCAGTGTTTGGCCAAGTGGAGCCACCTTGCAGAGGCAAAGACAAGGCCTCTTTCAGGGAGAGCAGCTCCAGAGGCATATGAGGGCACTCAGTGTTCCACCCCAACCACAGGATTTATTTACCTTCCAAAGAGGGGCAGCCAGTAAAAGGAGACGGAGTGTGCTCGGAGAGAGGTAGGGGTACAGTGTCTGCTTGAACGTGTGTTTGCTTGAGGGGTGGGTAGACAGACTGGAGCAGTGATGTCGTGATAGTGTGACACTGAATAACTCATCACTGAAAAAGAGAAAAGTCAAAAAACCAAACACACCAAAAATACACAAAATAAAACAATCACTAGCTGTTAAATGTGAGAACACTGTGGTGGGTCAGAGGATGTTAAAGAGAGTAAGAACATGGCTGTGAGCCAGAGAAGGCAGATTCTGGGGGGGCTCTGTTTTATAAGCCGTCTCCCTTCCCTTACACCAGACAAATAGAGTCATTGAATCTGTGCGTGCTACAAGCTCACAGTGGGCATCTGTTGGTACAGTCATTTTAATGGTATGACCATCTAAACCAGTGTCACCCTTTGAGCAAGTGGAGCCAAAATGTAACTGAAACTTTCTTCCCATGTCAGGACTAAAAAAGACTTTGGACTTTAAGTGGAGGGTTGCAGATTTATTTCTGTATATGGTGGTACGTCACAAAACACTAATCTTTTTTTATGTTTTCTACACAGCTTAAATACAGATTTATTTTTATCACAGTGGCAAATTAGTCCAAATAAAACAAAGGGCTAAAACAACAAACATTGAAGTTCTTGCTCAACTATTTGTGGATATAAACTTTCAAAAGAAATTTGGGATAGTTTGGTATTTTGGCTTTTATTCTCATATATTGTTGTTGGTTTTTGCAACACATTACCCTGTCCTCTGTTGATCATATGTGGAATTGTTGGGTGTTGTCTGAAGGACAACCATATACTAACTTTAGTTTTCAGTGTATGTATCTCAATTAAAGTTGAAGGCATGACTGTTCTGAGTTACTGGATGTCAGGTCATTCTGTAAATGTTCTTCTTGCATGAATGACACAGCAGAAGGGTGAATTCCCATTTCTTCATAGTGGGCATGAGCATCATTGTGCTGGTAACACACTCATTACTCTACAACACCTCTGGTGGTCAAAAGCAACACCACAACCAGTGAAACCAGGCCTGACCTGGCTCTTCAATGACTTAGCACCGAGACTGTTCCTCTTTTGCCTGTTGGAAACATCTGCTGTGTTGCTGTGGGAATATTCCACATCATGGAAATGAAAAGGGAGAAAACCAGCTTGACCAACAGCTGTGAACTCTAATGTGTTTTCTCTCAGCTTGGGACAGAAAGAATGCAGACTTGAATGGGCTCCTTGTTTCGGGCCTTTTTTCTTCAGTCACTTCCCGCTAAGCCTTTTGGGGGATCCCTGGCAACAGCATGCATTTGGATGAGGGGGCGAGACCGAGTAAACAATTCCACATTAACCTGCTTTTCAACCATCCCATCATTTCAGCGTTTAAAAAAAAAACCGTTGACAAAAGAATAGAAATATTTGTTGTGAAATCCCTGAAGAGGGAATAGCTATAGGCAATGATTGTACAAGCGATTATCTGGAGTCAGGTTTTTCTACTTTCAAGAAATGCTGGAAGGAATACTGACATTTCTACTGTTATGGTAATAATCTGTATGCTCAGTTACAACATGTTGTGTGTTGAGGTATAGGTTTAGAAAAAGGCAAACTTTCCCATTAAGAAAACTATGGATAACTTTATAAGTGCTATATAAACACACTTTTTGGTCAATGATAATGAAAATACCATAAGCTCAGAGCCCAGAGACACTTCCTCTACAACCTCCTGTTCCAGATCCTAACCCTAACCCTAACCCTCTGGCGCTGTAGTATTTGTAATGTGGTGAGCAACAGAAGGTTTTACTTTGGATCTTTGAAAATTGGAAGAAACAATGTCATGTTTGACAGAAGCACCGTTTACACATGAAAGAGAGTAACAGCTTCAAAGTGCCATGTTTTTATCAAAGAAATCAAATGAATGATCATTTCAACAGAACAAACTCTAACATTTAGATCTGTGTGGTACATTTCTAGTTGCTTAAACATAAACTTGTGCATTGGCCCCTGGTTTCGTCTGCAAGAATGACCAGAATGTGATAGCAAATGAAGTTTTAATAGTTACCAATGACAGCAAGACAAAACTTTGACAACCTATGAAACATTATCACTTTCTTTGATGAGTTTTTCCCTTTAAAGTATCAAACTTTCGGCCTCAGTAGAGAAACAATGTGGCTCTCACATGTTATAGTTTGCTCATTTGTTGAGAAAAGCAATTGTGGTCATCTTGAATTTGTTGAGGTTGCAATGTATTACAATCGTGACACATTTTCACAGCAGAGAAACGTCAAAACCTCAAATATTTTCAACCTGTATCCTCAGTTTGGTTCTCTTTAGTCCAACATTTTAAAGAAGGTGAGATAGGCTTAAACTTATGCTGTGTATTTAGTCAGGCAGCTGAATTAAAACTGCTTTAAAAATAGTATAAATAGTATAAATAGTATATTGATGGATAAATCTATCCAGAACAATGACTGTGACTCCATCCAATTTTTCACCTCATAAAATACAGACACAAAAGTTAATATTTTATTATTTGACCCCAACACCGAAATGATAAAAAAATACTATAATGTTTTACTGCCATGACATTTCAATAGCCCACATTCTGAAACCCCAAAACTTTGAGACTGATGAATTGACAGATGGTTTAAACTTAGATCCCTTAAAATAAAACATAGCACTTAGTTCACTTACTAAGGATGTTATGTTTTAGCGGCTGTCCATCCTGTCCAAGTTTTTTTTTTGTCACTTTCTTTAACGTGAGATAAGATGGTTTTTTTACATTTTCCCCAACTTCCCATTAAATAATTCACAGAGCTTTAGGAACAAAATAGACATATTTAGGGAAGGGATAACTACGAGTGTGTGTAATTTGGTGCAGCTTGATTGAATTTATTTATTTTATTTATCTCTGCCATTTTCGTTCCTACATACAGCCCCTCTGGGAAACCCAAGGAAATTTTCAGGGCATGTCTGAGCGGGGCTAGAGATTAAACTGTATTTTCACATGGTGCACTGTTGAGAGGATATGAATGCTCCACATGAAGACACCAGAAAAAGCACTTGAACATTCACTTTACCCGAGTCAGTTATGTAAAGTCCTACCAGCGCACATCAGGTCTAATCTAATCTAAAGTGATGATATCCTCGTGTAGATCTGTTGATATAGAAAACAGGCTGAACTAGGCAGTATTAGCACTATATCATTAACCGTATGACGACTCTCACTTTCACATCACAACATTTTCACACCACTTTCACCTTCACTGTAGTTTATCCCTGAAAATCTAAGTATAATCATCTATCAATAAAATCTTTTTTTTTTACTTTTTCACCAATTCCCCATTAAATAATTCACAGATCTTTAGGGGGAAAAAAGACATATTTAGGGAAGTGATAACGAGTGTGTGTAATGTGGTGCAGATTGATTGAATTTAAAGTGACTGTACTTCTACTGCCTTGGCGGCTGGCACTTACGCAAATAGAATTGCCCCTGCACTTTTTCTTCCTCTAGATAAAGTCCCCTTTTGTCTGCTTCCTCCTCACTCTTTCTCTGACCTGTGCTCACTTTACTGTTTTTTTAAACAACCTCACTGATCACAAGTTATTAGGACAGGTACAGGACTGATTTGTGTTTTTTTAATCGCTCTAGAGTTTATGAGACACGTTTAATCCTGCTGCTCAACACGAGACGTAACATGATGCACAGTCAGGGTAAAGACACAGAGCCTGTTTTAACTTAATTGTTGCAGAAGAGGCGACGCCCCGTTTATAACTTTTGATTTTAAAACATTTTTTTATATATAATTATGAGAAGTGCCCTATTTCTCATTTGAGCCCCTGCCCCCCAAAATGTCTGTGCACGTTCCTGCTTGGCAGAGTTATACATATCGCTGAGCGCCATTGTAGTGAGTGACGGTTTAATACTTTTTCAACGAAGTTGACAATAAATTCTCTGTGAAGGTTGAACCACCAGTCAAACATATCTGCTCCCAGCATATTATTTAGACTTGGGTATCTGAATGTGTGTCCACTCTGACTACACTTATTGTTTAAGTTGGTATTTCACAGTATTCGTTTTTTAGCTTGAAGACTTAAGTAGTAAATCTGGGCAACTCAAGATCTGCCAGTATTCATATTTATGTTTTCAACAGTAAGGTAGTATAAGCCCACTACTATATGTATATCTATGCATATCCTTTTTCCATGAGCGGGCCGGCAGTTTCAACGGTACCTCAGCCAAGCTGAACACAATGCTGCCATTGAAGCAGAGTCACAGAGGCTACCTTTATATACCGTCAAGAGGGACAGTTAACGCTACAGCACCTGGGTTTCACTTAAAGAGATAGTCCACATTAATACAGTCACATTGTATATATTTAACCAAAACCCAAAACATGTCATGACTGAAAATTGCACGTCTTCATATTTCTCGTGATTTTATTGCTTTAAGTTGTGTAGTTAAAAGTTGTCTTAGCATATTTCTCTGACATATATGGATCAGCTCTGACTTAACAGAGTCGTTTCATTTTCATTCAGAGCGAGCTGCCGACAGGAGCAGCAGGAGAAGCTGCTTTTTTAAATTGACATCAAACTGTCTGTTTACTACGGGTGGGGAAGCAACACTGGGAAATATAGCTACTGGCTGAGTAGTGAGTAAAAAATAGCACTTGAATGTTAAAGACACATGAAGGTATATGAGGTAAAGTATGTTTCTTCTTTAGCGTTGCCTTATTTTATTTAACCTTATGAGTATTATACTATATATTTATCTTTACCAACTTTCTTTTGGAATAAAAACTGCTTTAAATGGCATTTGGTTTAAGACATCAGTAGCTGTTTTCAGACATGAACTTTGGAACATTTGATCCGGACATTTTCCTTTTAAACATGAAGAACGCAGCCGGGGTTTGTCCCAGTCAGACGTGTTCACAGGAGCAGGAAGATGTCCGGTAGTGGCGGGGGTTGGTGCCAAGGGTAGAGTATGCAAGAGGCCAGACATGACGTAAAAATTCCACTGCAGAAAACCAATCACATATCATCATCGAATCTTTGCAAGTTGATATCGTCGTTGGTATCTGCTATGTATGTGGCACTCTTCTTCATACTAAATTATTTATATTCTTATTGTTTTTTTCAGTTTTGCATCTCTCATGCACTATGAGCATCACCAACATGCTCACTTGCTAACTGTGAATTATTTCATACATTTTCCTGCTGTATTTCCACATGGGCTCACTCCATTTTGCATACACTTTACTAGTGGCGGCAGGAAAAGTTATGGAACATGTCGGAAGCAACTAACTTGTACATTTGCATTCCTACATACAGCCCCTCTGGGAAACCCCAGGAAAATTTCAGGGCATATCTGAGAGGGGCTAGAGATTAAACTGTATTTTCACATGGTGCACTGTTGAGAGGATATGAATGCTCCACATGAAGACACCAGAAAAAGCACTTGAACATTCACTTTACCCGAGTCAGTTATGTAAAGTCCTATCAACGCAGATCAGGTCTAATCTAAAGTGATGATATCCCCGTGCAGATCTGTTGATATAGAAAACAGGCTGAACTAGGCAGTATTATCACTATATCATTAACCGTATGACGACTCTCACTTTCACATCACATCATTTTCACATCACTTTCACCTTCACTGTAGTTTATCCCTGAAAATCTAAACATAATCATCTATCAATAAAATCTTATATAATAATCTCAGGCAATCTGGCAGGCTTGACGTCTATGCTTATGTATGAATGTATCTAGAGTACCATGACATAACTTAAGTACTTCAGTAAGAACACAGTATGCAAATAAATACTTCTCTTTATCTTTAAGTGGCTCTTCATGAGGCACATCATTGGTGAGTATGAATAGAACTGTATGGCCTAAATACTCAGTCATTTTGTGTCTTATGACAGCTTTGCTTACAAGTTTTGGTCTGTGCAATAATGGCTCCTGCTGGGTTTGATGCATTGTGTGCAGAGTTCTGCAGATTCACAGCTACAATTTGGGACCTTCAAGCTAATGAAACATTCTTTCCTCGAGCAAACTGATGGACTTGTTGATCAGCATCTTTTCATCATCCACAATCCTGTACCCAAACATCTTCATGGTGGGTTCACACACTCTCTGCACCACCTGAACCAGTGTAAAGGGAATGCTAAACCTCCATTTTTCTGCCTGCTCTGATGAGTTCTTCTGGGTGGAGTAAATGTCGCTCGCTCTCGGTGTGGTCTGGGTGTTCCTTAGAATCCACTTCCTAGCTTGGGGACTGAATGGTATCCTTGTGAATCTGTACATGTCCTCTGCTTTCTGCATCGGATACTGGGCAATGTCCTCGTAACGCACCAACATGTAGCGGTTCCTCAGCCAGCGAGGTTGACTCAGTCCCACCTCTGCAGACATCCTAATTTGATCACAGTTTCCTTTGAGCCTCTTCACCTCCTCATCATCTTCAGGCACCTGGCCGTCCTGCGCCCAGGACTTCCACGTCTGATACTTAGAAGAGAAAGCCACCATACGGGATGCTAAGATGGCCCGTGGATCTCGGACTAGCTGGATCACTCTCACATCCAGACGTGGATCCTCCACCAGCGGCTGCAATGATTCCAACTGGCGCACACGGACAGTCTTTATGGCATGGTGTTGCTTGGAAAGACAGGACTCAGATGCAAGAGTCAAGTTCAGCGGCCCACAGCGATGAATCTTACAGTGAAACCTAAGAGAAGAGTGGTTTAGGGTTAACATGATAAATATCTTTCATAGAGATGCAAAGCAGGAGTCCTTAGAGCAATTAAAACACTTACAAAGCTTGTATGGGCACGAAAAGTGGTGAATTATCAGGACAATGAGCAAATGTCTCATTCATTTAAATAAAGTCAAAGGTACAAGAATTTGCACTTAAAAATGCCAAAATGTCAATGTCACAAAAAGGAGAGAAATACCCATCACAATGTCCTGAATGTTCAAATGTTAAACTACATTTGATTCAGAACCAAATTTGAATGAATTTTGGGTAAATTCAGCTACAACGGTGCGATTGTCCGATCAGTGACAGTGAGAATCTAGAGAATGTATCATACCTCTCGAAAACTTCCTTGATGAAAGGAGTGCAGACGGGTTTTTCACAGAGCGATAAACTCGACTCTCGGCGGAAAAGAGCAGCAGTTACGTGGTCCTCAGGTGGGGGAGAGATGAACTTCTCAAGAGGAGAGAAATCACACAGGAAGAGCCCCTGGAGTACATCCCGGTAGATTCCTGTCAAAGCTGTCCCATTGTTTGCCTCCGCGGCCAAACTCAGCATGCGCTCGACGTGCCACAGAGGCTCGAACAGGTAGAACATGTTCTCTCTGTGCTGGTTGAAAAACTCCCCGACAAACGAAGAACCTGTTCGTGTGGTGGCCAAGAGCAATATGTGCTTACGGCCATTGCTGGAGCTGTTCGTCCCTAAATCCTCCAGTTCATCATCCTCTTGCTCGTCAGAAAAATTTGTGTAATTCCCTTTTGCACCAGTGAGTTTAGAAAGCAGCATTTTGAGCATGGACAGGGGGCCATTTTGTGTCGTGTTGCTGTTATCCAGTGGTGAGTGTGGGGTCAGCTGAGGAGTCTGCCTCTGGATCAGCTTATCGGAGACCCTGATGAGAAAAATCAATCAACGAAGCAGAGTTAATTTTGCATTCAGCTTACACTGGTACATGGATCTACTACTGTATGTTTGAGGTGGTTAGCATGAATGGTAGTTTTCCACTCATCTCTATCTTGACTATTTTAAACGGGCATTGAGAAGGCGGGTATCCTGATATAATTTTTTGAGCAGGTCAAGGAAAAAGCATCGGCAGTCCTAAACCTGGAGTGAACATAAATCTGAAGAAAGGGCTTGTTTCTTTCCCAGAACTCCAACCAAAGCAATACATTTCAACATCTCCCATGACTTACTGTGTCTTCTCCAGATTTAATACTCTTACCTTGACAGGATATTGCTCTCCTTTTCGATGATGACCAGGGCAACAATACAGATGAAGACGATTGCATATTTGGTCTTCATTCTTGAGTCCCGGCTTTGCACTTAGACGTCTAGATTCTGGTCGGCTTGGTGGTCATAGCTTGCAGAGGCTAAAGATTCATTCTGCAACAAGAAAGGTATTTCAGTAAAGACAGTCAAAAAACGGAATACTCCTATGACAACTAAAAGTATTAGATAGGTATTGCTAACTGAAAAAGTTAATAGTTAGTCAAATAATACCATGAAATCATCAAACAGAATTTGCCTCATGATGGAATTTACTACAATAACTATCTTCTATCTCAGCACTTAAAGACAAACCAACCAGTGCTTTATTGATAAAAAAGACTGATGAATATTAAGCAGTTTGCTCAAAACAGTTTTTTCATGTTTCATGGAGGCATATGAAAAACTAGGGCTGGGATCTGGGTTAAGGAGAAAGACAGATGGGAGAAAGGGAGGTAATGTAAACAGGAGTGGTTTTTCAAAACACAGTGGAACACTGCCACATGGCACTGAGTCAGGGAAAATGAGCAAATTTTGATTTTATGACTGTGCCTTTTCCATACTCCACCTTTCAAATCTGAAGAAGCCAGACAGTTCCCTAACAGGTTATGTCATCAGTATCACTTCTTGGAATCAGAGGTTTGCCCATTTTATGAGCTGCAAACCGCAACGTGTTGACAGCCAAGTGATCCGTGATGCAAATATCAAGATAATTTTTCAGCATAGAGCACAGGCAAGTCAGAGAAGGTAGTATCAAAACCAAATCTTGCATTATTAGTCAGTAACAGTCTCCTTCCCATCTGCTCGGAGTAATTTATATCAATAATTTAGGAAGACTTGACCTCACCAGAACACACAGGCGTCACAAATACTTTTGAATACATGAGCTATTTAGACTTAAAAGTTAATTTGAAATACGTCAGTAGACCAAATTTCTCAATTCTGATTAAATTGGATTATAATGTTACTAAAAAAGAAATGTAGACGGGGGGGGGGGTATAGTTTTGGAGTGATTGTGTGCTCTGTAAGTAAATATCACCCAATTATCTGAGCTTAATATGCCACAGCCGTCAAACTGTCAGGCTGCAGCACTCGAGCCCAGCGTTTTTACATATTCAAGAGTCACTCGAGCGTTTGGCAAATCTGACTATCTGCTCAAGCAGAAACACACATCACTCTGTTTATCATCTCACTACAAATTACATTAATGGCTGCCTTCAAACGCCTCGAAGCAGCATCTCGTGGAGACACTGAGCTAAATCCCCACTGAAAGCTTTGCTGCTCATCCAGGGGTGATAAGATAAATCATTAGCTGTTATGGGGCAAATGTTGAAAACTGTTTAGAATATTGTATCTGTGCCAATATAAGTGATTAATTAATGCTACTGGCATTTGGAAACCAAGAACACCCCCCCCCCCCCCCCCATGTGTGTCCATGTGTGGTGCCCATTTAATAGCAGTCATTTAGGGGGAGGGGGCTTTCAATTCAAGAGCTTTTTTTCCCTCCACCACTGAACCAACCAGAATGAATGCAGACGAATGAATACTTCTGCGTGTTAGAAATCTCTGATTCCCTGACACGATGCTTTCACATACTCAGAATTAAACCTGGATAAAACGGTTTGACTGGCAGATCGCGTCTGTGACATTGAGGATTATTGATTAGAATGGACCACACGGTGGACACAGCCTACATATTCGCACAAAACACCATTTATACCTGCGCCTGTGAGGAAACACGAACCCAACACACACGCAGGGGTTGACACGAGTGGAAACAGTGGGGGAGTTCATCATCATTCATCGTTTATAGCGTCAAAAGGCAGGATGGAAGGATGTTTACGCGCCACCGTGCACATACGCTGCTGCCTCTATAGGTAATTCACTGAGCTATAGTCATTTCCTGCCGGGATCAGAACGCATGGAGGTGTTCAGGTAGGTGGGGACATGGCACAAACCTTTTAGCCGCTGGTCTCCCTCTGTAGTCGAGCAAATCGTCCCCCTCATCCCGTGAGAAGCAGAATCGGAGCATCTCGCTGCATTGTCTCGGACACATGCTTCATTGTATCCTCGTCCGCGGGCTCCGCTCCTCCGCCGCATGAATGAGAGGCAGCGCGCAGGAGGAGGAGGAGGAGGCGCGGACTTCTTCCACAAACACCAGAAGAACGTTATTTTCTAACATACGATGGAAAACACAAGGGAAAAAAAACTAAACCAGCAGGTTAATAGTTGATCTCAGCAGCCATCTCAATTTGGGATGGAATATTTTCGCCACCAAACTTTCTGCTCTAACTTTCTCTCGCTCGTGCGCCGCTGGACCAAACTGACTGCACGAGCGAGCTGGGACCACGCTTTACGTCACCCCCCAAACACACACACACACACAC